GGCATGCCATGAATGAAAAACTAGATCATCTTATCTTGAAAAAAATAAAAGTACTCATTGAGGAGCTTCACAATTTCTGCAGGAAATGAGGCAGAAACTATACAGCCCCAAATGCAGCAACTATAAGAGAGGATGAAGGGTGGGGAGAGAGATCCAGCCAGTGGCACTAAATATTTAATCTTGCTTTAAATGTGCAAATTAAATGCTTTTAGTTTTAAAAGTAAGTGTGCTTTTAGTTTTAAAAGCAAGCCGCACCAATAACGCCACCCTTGAAAATGCCAGAGCGTAAGCATGGAAAGCAGCCAGAATGTTAGTGATTGCGAGTCAAGTGAATTATATTCTCTTGGTAGAGGATCTTTGTCTGTCTCTTCGTTATTGCCCTGAGATCTCAAGCGCATGGTGCTGTTCTCCGGGGGCAGGGTTAATTTAGTACTGTGGGGAGACATCTCTCTGCTTCCCTCCTCATACCAGTGTGGTGTAGTGGTTAAGAGCATGGGATCGGGACTCAGACAATCCGGGTTTGAGTCCCCGCTCAGCCATGGAGCCAACTGGGTGACTTTGGGCCAGTCACAGACTCTCAGCCCAACCTACCTCACAGGGTTGTTGTTGTGGGGATGAGATGGAGGAGGAGAATGATGTAAGCTGCCTTGAGCCCTTTGTAGGAAAAAGGCAGGATATAAATCGATAAATAAATAAATAAATAAATAAATAAAATACCAGAGCCCTGTGGGGTCATCCTATGAAGCTGAGTGGTGGAAGGTTCAGGGCCGATAAAAGCGAGCGTTTGTTCACACAACATCATGGTTAAAAGATGGGGTTTGCTACCACAAGCTGTAGTGATGTTCTCTGGACTGGATGGCTTGAAGGGCGGGTTGGACCAATTCATAGAGGAGAAGCCTATCAGTGGTTGCTCGTCCTAATGGCCGTATGTTATATAGAGGCAGTGTGCCTGTATACCCCATTGCTGGGAACATGGGTTGGAGTGCTAATGTTTTGGGTTTTTTTTTATTATTATTATTATTATTATAACATTTCTATGCCGCCCCTTGCCGAAACCTCGGGGCGGCTTACAACATGATAAAATACATTGAAATACAATAGTACATAATAAATTACCATTAAATACAAAAATACAAAAAATACATTGATTTACAAATATAAAATTAGAATTATCAGTATAAAATAAAAATATAGGAGGAGAAAGAGAAGGAAGAAGAAGTTGCCCTGGCCAGATCATATGTTTTAACAATTGAAATGATGTTTAAATAAAAAGGTCTTTACCTGGCGCCGAAAAACCAGTAACGACGGAGCCAGGCGGACCTCTTTGGGGAGTGAATTCCATAGGTTGGGCGCCACCCTTCCCCCCCATTTCCCCTCTTTTCTCCCCAGAGATGATGAAACCCAGCTTCGTGCTGGCTCTTGTGAACCCTGATTTGCCGGCCACTTCAGAGTGACCAGCTGGCACCTTGGAGGGGCTGATTGTGGGTGGCCGATGGTTGTGTTTAAAAATGCACATAATGTATTCAGTGGGTTCATTCTATCTTATTTTTAATTTTAGCTGTATCTGTGCAGTGGTAAAAATACGTAGCCTCTATATAGCACGTTATATGCACCGTGAAAAAAGTTGCTATCAGCCAGTCACTGACAGCATCTCTGGGGTGCCGTTTGGGCACTTAGAAGGAGCTGTCAATGGCTGCCAAAATGGGGATCTCTGTGGGTGAAAAAGGATAAAGGCGGATGAGGCTGCCACGAACCCAAAATGGCTCATGCTCCTGATGGGGAGGGCAGGGAGCATTCATCCCCAGGTACTGCTTGGGCATTTGTGTGCCAGCCAGCATTGGCGGGTTGGCAACAGTGGCGCACTCGGCAACGGCGGCAAGGGGGTTTGCTGCTATTGTATTGTTGCTGATTCCTAGTGCTTGTGATGGGATTGGTTGCCTAAGTTCAGAGGGAGCAACAGCAACTCCTAGAGCAGACTAGCTTGCCAGAGTGACTTGTTGCACCCAGCAAGGCCACCGTGCAAGAACAGTTTGGCTTCACATGATGTGACAACCCATCGCAGGTGGCAACCCACGAAGGATTGTCTTATCATGGGAGCCCAGTCTCTAGTAGCCTGTAGGTGTGATGGCCTAATTCCTACCCAGTACAGCCAGTGGCTTCCAAACTAACTGGGAATTCTGCTGTCCCAGAGGGTCATCTACACTTGCTCTTGCCACTTAAGTATTTTGAGCCTCTGTTAAATCATGTACTGCTCCAACACTTTAGCAGAGCTCCCTGACTGAGCATATAAGGAGTCAGGCTTTTGGTCCATTGATCACAGTGATGCCACCGTAGCTCTCCCAGATCTTGAGCTCTGCTCTTTCCCAGCTCTGCCGCCCTGGCTTTTTTACCTGGGACCTTTTGTGTGCTAGCACATGCTCCACCCCGAGCCACAGCCCCTCTTTGCCCTTGATCACAGACCTTTGTGCTTTATGGCATTCGGTGTCCATAACCTGGAGAGGATTGCATCTCTCTCCTGGGCAAAATCTCCCAGCGATTTGCAGCTCCCGGCACCCCCAGCTGTGCCTAGAGCGGCTATCTAAAAATGCAATACTGGCTGTGTTAGATGATACAAGGGCTTTCTGACCTTGAACTATTTAGTGAGCCTTGCTCTGGGACCATTGTCATGAGGCGAACATTTGGAAAGTGAATTTCTTAGAAGTCTGTAATGTTAATCTTTCCTACCAAAAACAAAGTGTCCCTATTATAAACTTTTTTCCTTGTCCAACTCACTTCAAATGTACAGAGAGGGCAGAAGCACAAGGGTTGACATTCCGTTCTCTTCCTTGTCTGCGACTGTCCCTGGATTTCTGTACCAGCCACCTTCTAAAATTGTGACCAAGTTCAGCCACACACAGGGTCATCCTAAACCTAGTCTCTTGATACACAAACAGAACCCTCTTCAGGGTTCAAAGAGATCAGAGGAAAACACACCATATGGAACTGAGTGTAGAATTTTACATTTCTAAGAACATTGGGTTTCAATGTGTGTGCATGTGTTTTAAAAGAACAGATTTAGGATACACTTGCAAACATCTGGGCATTGCTTGCTGAAATCTCAGAAGTCAGAGGTGTGGCTGAAAAGCATGTTCAGTTGCAGAAAGGATGATGCAGCTTCTCGGCCTCTGGACTAGCAGAGCCAGGATAAATCCTTCAAAGCAGTAAGCACGTTTAGCCTCAAGAAGACTGAGAAATGATAGGTACCACTCTGCAAATACTTGAAAGGCTGTCCCAGAGAGGAAGGCCAGGGCCTCTTCTTGATTCTCCTTGAGTGCAGGACACGGAATAACCGAATAACCAGCTCAAGTTACAGGAAGCCAGATTCCAGATAGTTATCAGAAAGAACTCCTGGGTATTTGAGTGGTACAGCAATGGAACCCATGACCTAGGGAGGTTGTGGGCTCTCCCACCCTGGAGGCATTCAGGATGCAACTGGACAGCCATCAGAGAGGGATGTTATTTTAATCTTTTTGTTGTAAGCCGCCCCGAGGCTTCGGCGAATGGGGCGGCATAAAAACGTTTTAATAAATAAATAAATAAAATAAATAACTGGGAGTCCTGCACTGAGCAGGGGTTGGACCTGATGGCCTTCTGGCCCCTTCCAACTCTGCTGCTCCGATTCCATGAAACATTGCAGAAGAAAGGTACAAATTAGTTCAGTCTATACAGGTTGAAGAATTCTTTTTTTTTTTCTTCCTGGTGTGGGATTTAGGCTGCTTGAGAGCAGGATTTATTTATCTGAATGGGACAAGTTAAGCATGAAGTACTATTCCGGAAGTAGCTGTTGGTTCTGCACAGAACCCTGGAGCAATCAATCTCTTGAACACCTGAAACTTGCTACATTTCTATCTCATGGAGAGTAAAATATGCCTGACACGAAATTTTCCTTCCAGAAACCCCTAGTTGATCTGATTTTTGGCAAGACAGTGGTACTTTTGACCTTCCACAGTACTGAAGCTCCATTTACTTAAAGGTGTCCAAGAATTTTGTTTCAGTTCACTGAACATCAGAACTCAAAATCTTATGAGATCTTTGTCTGAAAAATGCTCTTATTTTAATACTTTGATTATGTTTGCAAAATGAGTGTTAAGACAATGCATTTGAAGGTGAGCAAGGGAGTATTTCCATCTGTTGTCAATTTTTAAAGCTTTATTTGTTTATTATTACTAATAACTGTCTCACCTAAGGAAACTGAGACAGCTCATATGACCCTCCTTCTCTCCATTTTATCCTCCTAACAACCCTGTGAGGTTGCTTAGGCTGAGACTCAGTGTCTGGCTCAAAGTCATCCAGGGATCTTCATGGATCAGTTCAGACTAGAACCTGGGTGTCCCCCAACTCTGCATCCAACACTCAACCAATTGCACCATACTGAGGGGCAGTGTGGTATAGTGGTTAAGAGTGTAGGACTGGGTCTCAGGAGATCTGGGTTCTAGTCCCCACTCGGCCATGGAGCCAACTGGGTGACTTTGGGCCAGTCACAGCCTCTTAACCCAGCCTTCCTTACAGGGCTGTTGCTGTGGGAATAAGATTGAGAGCAGCAGCAGGGGAATGATGTAAGCCATTTTGAGCGCTTTGTAAGAAAAAAGCGGGATATAAATTTAATAATAAATACTGGCTCTTGATGGGGAAGAGTACACATTCGGGTGCACCGTTAAAAACACCCTCTGCACCCAGGCACAAATTTTCCTCAGTCGAAAAACAAAAGCCTCCAGCTGGAAATGCAGACCCTTAAATTGCTTGGGTCTGTCTGAGTGTCGCATTCCCATGTTCACTAGACTAAAGCAAGAGGTTCCATCCACTCTTCACAAAGCAGCCATTCCACTGTCTCCCTCCCGAAGAGCTCCTTACAGAGACTTCCATGCCTGATTAATCGCAACAGTTTGCTCGATAAGAATAAAGACAAATGATTATTTAAACCTGCTTACGTACCATGACTTTCCCCCCTCGCTCCGTGGTAGAGTGCCAGTTGATGAAGACAGAGAGACCCAAACCAAACACATTCATCATCCGGTGCCTCCAGTGGACCACAGTAATTGAAAGGACGTTTCACGTGGAGACTCCAGAGGAGCGGTAAGTTGCCTTCAGACTCTGGTACAAAAGCAACTTGCGAGAGCAGATGTAAATGTTCGGCGCTATTAGTGTGCCGGGTCTTCTCAAAGCCTTCTTTATTGCTTTGGTGCAGTGGGCTTTAGAGCCCATTTCACATGATGTTCGCCTTTTGTCAATGCGAGAGGGGATAAAATAGGAGTTCTTGGACGAGGAAGTGCATGCCGGTGGGAGCGAAGGGCGGTCGTGGGCTTTCCCTCCTTGGAGGCATCAAAGAGCCAGTGGGGCAGCTCTCCATCAAAGATGCCTCAACCTGGAGTCCTGCGCAGAGCAGGGGTTCATGGTAGTATGAGTCCTTTCCAGCCCTGCTGTTCTGTCCTACTCTGCTCTCTGTGTGGGGAGCAGTGAGTGTTATACCTTCTATTGGAATTCTCCAGATAGCACGAAGAACATAACCTTGTCATCACACTAGAGTCATCATTGTTCAATCACATAGTCATGCCCGATTCTTCGTGACCCCATGGAAAACATTCCTCCAGTTCTCCTGTCCTCCACCATCCCCCAGAGTCCACCCATCCCCACACCCACCTCTCCAGTGACCCCATCCAGCCACCTCAACCTCTGCCGTTCCCTTCTCCTTTTGCCATTAATGGTTCCCAGCATCAGGGTCTTCTCCAGGGAGTCCTTCCTTCTCATTAGGTGGCCAAAGTATTTGAGCTTCAGCTTTAGTACCTGATTTTCTAAAGAGCAGTCTGGATTGATTCCCTTTAGGATAAACTGGTTTGATCTCTTTGCAACACTGGCACTGAAAGTATCTAAAAAATAGAAATAGTTATTCCTGTTGATATACCCATTCTACTTTTAAAACTTTAGCATTTCTTTGGACCAGAATAGATTCTTAATTTTCTGCCTTTATATTTCTGTTCACCTTTCTGCTCAATTTAGAGGAGAGGCCTTGGACCGTATTCTCCATTTCTTAGATCTGAGATTAATTGGCATTACAGAGTTGGGCTTGTTTGGCTTCCACTCCCTTGAACCTCCTTGCTTAGGTAAATCCATCAAGCCACAATCTTGTTTTCCACTGCCAGATTTTTAAAAATGCTACATCAGAACTGGCAGATACAGGTCAGGCTATTTGTCAGTCTAGTCTACTCTGGGACCATTGAAAGAATGGGCTTCCACGGGAGGTGGTTGAAGCCCCATCGGTGAGGGTGTTCAAGGATAGACTGGACATGCACATGGTAGGCATGTCATGAGCAGAGGGGTCATGGAGCCGGGGGTCAGACTAGATGGCCCAGGAGGCCCCTAATGACTCACTCAGTTTCTGTGTTTGTTCAGCCCAAGGTCTGCATTTCATTTGGAGGAGCTCTTGGGGTGCATTCCCTTGGTGACTGGGGCTGCCGAGAAAATTGGGGACACAATCCCAGCACACTGTTATATAAGATTTAGACATTTCAGTGTTTTGGAGTTGGAAAAATTGTGCAGAATTTGCTAACCCACCGAAGCATCAGTGGCCAGTTGTTGAGGGTGGGACCAAGGGGATGTGAGCAGGGCCTCCTGGGGAGCTCCAGAGTGCCAGATTGGGACCCCAGGACCAGGTTTGGTCTTGAGATCTGAGGTTCTGCACTCCTGGTCTAACCTGGTATTGCCCACTTTGACTCTTTCAGGGCCTTGGCAAGGAAGTGTTGTGCACCACCACCTCTTAAGACTAGAGATGCCTTTTATTTTTCTTAGGGAAGAATGGACAAAAGCCATCCAAACCGTAGCAGACAGCCTTAAGAAACAGGAGGAGGAAATAATGGATTTTAGATCCGGCTCTCCCAGTGATAATTCAGGTGCTGAAGAAATGGAAATCTCCATGACAAAACCAAAACACAAAGTCGTAAGTATTGGGTCAAAATGTCCATCTGTCCCACAAGTGTTTATTCCATATGTGCTTAATTCCTGCACCTCCCACTGACCCCAGCCAGCGTGGCCAGAGTGCGTCCAACACATCTGGATTTGCAGATGTGGTGGCCTCCGTTTCCACAGCATGCGGAGATTCTTTGGAACACGAGCAGGGGCTTCCTGCAGGCCTCCTCCCACCCCACCCTCAACAGACTGTATGGATTTTAAGCTTGGGCTTTTTTTTTTTTAAATGTTCTCATTTGATTGTGGTTTCTGTTTTATGATCTTTTTTTCAGGGTGGGGGATCTGTTTTGGTTGGCTTTGTAACAGCCCTAGAGAAATACAGTGAATAAATTTAATACAAAAGTCCGTGAGAGGGGCATGACAAAGAAACAGCACTCAACAAGCAGGCCAAGATCTCAAGGACCAGAGAGAGGTGGTGGGGTCTAAAGCATGTAAGGGATGTCAGGTTCCAACCCAGGTAGATGAGACAGGTGGGACAAGTCTGTCTAGCCTTTTCTCTTGTGGGTAAGTAATTCAGGTGTAAGAGGTCACCTAGCCTGAGGCCAGCAGGTTCCTAGTAGTTGCTCTGGGCTTTCGGTTTGCATGTGCTTCCAAAGCTGTAGGAACATCTCCAGCCATCATGGGTGGTGCTGGAGCACAGCAGACCCTTCTGGCCTGGCAGCAGGATATAAGAAGAAAGATGCCTCGTCCTTCTATGGAGATTCCCCAGTTTGAGACCTTGAGGCTTGGAGGACAGCTTGGCTGATAATGACTGACCTGCTCCCAGAAGGTGCAGCACACTCTTTGTCCACATGGGGGTGACAGTGACACCACTCTGGCCTAACTGGCAGCTCAGATGAGTTGAGCTGCAAGCACCCAGGGGAAGCAGTCAGCGGCCTCTGCGGGAAATGTCTGGGATCCCGTGGCAAATCACATCATGTGCAGTGTTGTCCCCTGAAATCGGAATGTGCAAAAAATGTTGGCCAACATGTCAACTCCTTTAGGTGTTCCTCTCACGGCCTTCAACAAGGGTTGAGGACTGGCCAGTACAGTCCTCAGAATGATTCTTGAGAGATGATACTTGTAATAAATTTGGGATAACAGCACTCATCATGGCAATCCCCATAGCCATCCCAGAGGGATCTAAAAATTCAGGCAACCCTGTTGATCTGTATCAACAAGCCGGGCCTAGCAGGTTTCTTCTCCACCAGGAGCAGTCCTCCTGCAAGGCTATTGGCTGCCATTGCCCGTTCAGAACAAAGCCACCACAAAATAATTTGCATCACAACAGAACGATATGCAGTCACTGGGACATCATTCCCTTTCCCCAGCTATGGTGAGAGAGAAGGGCTGTGCACTAGGCAGGCACTCCTGCCTGAACTTGCCTGCAACGGTGAAATTGGGGCTGCTGTTCTAAAAATAAGGCAGTGTTGTGTCCGCCCCCCCCCCCGGCCATGCACCACGACATCTAGCATATTGCATTGCAGCAAAATATAGAAGACCCCCTCCATGGAGCCTGGGACAGGATCCTGTTATGAGCGATGTCCTAAAACCCTCGTGCTGGCTTTTTAAAAAGCGCATGTACAGCTGCACTGGTACATTTTGCATTTGTTTCATTGTGCCTGCTCCTGGGATTCCTGAAGTCACTTGTGTGGGAGGAGAGGATAGTGGATCAGATGGTCTCACAGGCGTTCAGACAAATTTCAGTCGTATCCTTGGGGTACGTGATTAGCTCAGTCCAGTTGGCTGCTGTTCGCTCGAGAGGGTAGTTTTTGACTTGTGTGATAAAGAGATAAGGCTCTCTTGTAGCTTCCACAGAAAAGCAGGATTTCTCCAAGCTGTCAGTCATTTTATTTTTTATTTATTTTTATTTGGGTATTTTCATCCCGTCCAATTATGGCACATCTCTGGACTGCTTACAAACAGAACACCCAATAAATACATATAATAACCCATAATAATTTTATACATTTTTGGGGGAAAAAGTCTTCTGTAAATCCCTCTAACTTATTTAAACATGTCACTCACAGACGATGAATGAATTTGAGTATCTGAAGTTACTGGGAAAAGGTACTTTTGGAAAGGTCATCTTAGTGAAAGAGAAAGCAACCGGACGGTATTACGCGATGAAGATCCTGAAAAAGGAAGTCATTGTTGCAAAGGTAGGACATCTCAGTTCATCTTTGTCAGCCCCTGTTTAGTTGAAAGCCAAGAAGAAAGGATATAAAAGTCTGAGAGGAGGCCACTGCTAGGAGAGGGCAGTGAGTTCAGGACTCGGAGGGCCAATTTGGAGATTGCACCAAACCTCTTGCATGAATGGGCTGTGAGCTTGCTCACTCCTTTCTCTTCCTCCTTTGTCCATCCTTTGATTTTCTCTTCCATGTCCAACCATACTTTGCCAAATCGCCAGAATCGGAACTGTTTGTGGAACAGACTGGCCATGAAATGCAACTGTGGCCAGGAGAATCTGTTCTTGGGAACCTGTTAGAAAGAAGGGAATAGATGAAACAAGCAGAACAAACAAAAAGGAGAAATTATGATCCAGGATGTAATACTGTAACCTGCCCATGCACAAGCCATATACTTATCTTTTTATTCAACCTTCCTTGACGTCCCACTAAACCCACTCTATGCCCACTAGACTCGCTTTCTCCTCTACAGTTTAAATATGGTATCCTAGGGGGAGAGTTCTGTGACTTGAATTTTTCAGTGTTCTCATTTCATTTCATCAGATTTTTCATGAAAGCTAATCAAAACGTTGCCAGATGCTTTTGTTTTTATGTTTAGTATAATTCTGTTTAATTCTATTAATCCCAAAGTTGCTGCTTATTCACAGCTTAAATGGGTTGCATTTCAGGATGAAGTGGCTCATACTCTGACAGAAAACCGTGTTTTGCAGAACTCTAAGCATCCTTTTTTAACGGTGAGCATTCTCTTTCAAAGAAAATCTATTATATGTGAGATGACACTTTTCCTCATTTGAATTCATTCGCTGAAGCAGACCTCAGAGGTGTAGTATTTCCCCCCAAATAGTGGTGGATTGAAGAACTTGATTGTGTTGATCCCTCCTGTTGATTTAGTAGTTTCAATGCTTTGTGACTCTGCTGGCAGTTTTCTGTACTAAACACTCAACATTTAAGGGTTTTGAAAAATACATTTTATTGATTGATTGATTTATATCCTACCTTTTTCCGACAAAGGGCTCAAGGCAGCTTACATCATTCTCCTCCTCCATCTCATCCCCACAACAACAACCCTGTGAGGTAGGTTGGGCTGAGAGTCTGTGACTGGCCCAAAGGCACCCAGCTGGCTCCATGGCTGAGCGGGGACTAAAACCCAGATCGCCTGAGTCCCAGTCCCAGCTCTTAACCACTACACCACATTGGCTCTCTCCACACTTATCCCCTCAACAACAACCCTGTGAGGTAGGCTGGGCTGAGAGTCTGTGACTGGCCCAGAGTCACCCAGTTGGCTCCATGGCTGAGCAGGGACTAGAACCCAGATCGCCTGAGTCCCAGTCCCGTGCTCTTAACCACTGCACCACACACTGGCTCTCCATTTACATGTCCATAAATACAGTGTTCCAGGTTGGCCACAGCTTTTTTTGAAGGGTTTTCTGACAAAATGTCTCCTCCCACTACTCAGAACCCATGATCATCTTCAGAGGACTTCTTGAAGCTTCTACCAGATGATGCTAAATGACTGGCAGTGGTTGCTGTTACCTGCCATCAAGTCATCTCCACCTTATGGCGACCTTACGAATGAGAGCACTTCAGCATGTCCTACCCACGACAGCCTTCCTCTGCTCCTCTAGATTCAAGGCTGTGGCTTCTGCATGATGGAGTCAATCCCTCTCATATTGGTCTTCTGCCTTTGACTTTCCCTAGCATGATTGTCTCCCCCACGGAATCTTGATGTGCCCAAAGTACAACAACCTTGGTTTTGCTGGTTTTGCTTCCAGGGCAAGTTCTGGCTTGATTTGATCTAGGACCCACAGCTTGTCCAGTCTGTCACTTTGGGGTATTCACAAAGCTCTCCTCCACCACCACGTTTTGAATGCTTCAGTTTTCTTCCTGTCTGCTTTCTTCACTGTCTAGCTTCCACACCCATGCAATGCAATGGGAAATACAATCGTTTGGATGATCTTGAGCTTGGTTTCCATTAAAACCACCCTTACACTTGATGATCTTTTCTGTTTCCTTAATTGCTCCCCTTCCAGGTCTCAGTCTTCTTTGAATTTCTGGGCTGCTGTCTTCCTTTGGATGGATGGTGGGTTACAGTTATGGAACAGACGTCCTCCAAAGTTTTGCAGGATACTTATGTTGTTATCTTATTGGCAACATGTGAAGAAATATTTTTTCTCTTGGGCATTTATGGTTCTTTTATCAATGCCAGAGCTGTTTAGGGTTATATATTGTATTGTTTCTTTCCAATATTGGTATTGAAATTTATATTTTAACTATTCTGTAGTATTTTAGTTTTTAATTATCTGATAGATGACAAGACAACAGTGGCTATTGGCCAGACTAAAAATATAATGAACAAATGCAGAAATATAAATGCACGGTCCAAAATCTGTTAACAAATGTCCTTATTTGTTACTTTGTCAAGGTTGCTCTTAAATTGAGCCCATTTTTTAAAATCTCTGTCCATCATTTAACTTGGGAAAATCCCTATTTTCCCACCCAAGTCTATTCATATCTACCTGAATTAACCTGAAATTTTGTTTGGTTGGTTGACTGTGTTGTGCTGCCCACCCAGCCATCGGGAAGAGAAAACTTCTCTTGTTCTTCATGGTCTTTGTGCATCACGCACATGGGTTTCGCACCTGCCTGCAACCTGTTACCAGGCAGATTTGGTAGCTCAGAGCGTTTTGCACCTTTGCCCTTGGTTCTTCTTCAACCGCCCTCAGTCCTTGTGAAGTTCTTTCTTTCCTCCCTAATTCATGAGTGTTTTTCCTATTTCAACCCATTTTTCTCTAAAAAAAAACCAAAAAAAATCTTATTTCTTACCATCTTTCTCTGTAGAGCTGTTTTTATTTCTCCCCTTGAGTTTTTTAGTTTTTCATAAGCCATTCCTTTATTTATTTTTAAAAGCTTTTCTAACCTGACCACCACTAGTGTCTCAGGACAGCTTACAATAAAAAATGAGTAGAATAAAACAAAACACCACAGCATCCAACAATTCAAAATAATAAAATATTCCTTTCTTGCCTGCCTGCCATAAAAAACTAAAAAAAGAAACTTTCTTCAGGATCCTTAAGCTATTCGTATACACACCTTGCATTGTCTCTTCATTTCTCCATTTCCTCCTCCTCTGCCTTCTTGATGGCACCGAAGTCCCCCTTCGAAGCCCCCCTTCCGCAAATGCTTGCAGAGTGACTCAAAATTGCTACGTATCTTTCAAATGCAAGCTTTCCCAATTTGAAGTTTTAGAGAGCGGGAGTGCTTTGTGACGGGCCGTGTCGACCGTGTGAGTTTCCTTGTGAGTGCGTCTGTAGCCTTTTCTCAACACCCCTCATGTGCCCACTGATCCAAAAAAGTTAGCATCCTTGATTGAGCCTTATGTATCCCATGCCAGGTGTTTTAAACTGGTCTGCTCAGTTTGATGCTCAGTGGTTTAAACTATTTATATATTGTACTATGGAAGATGCTTATGGTTGTTTTTATTCTGTCTTGTTTCTAGGAACTTCTGTAAATGTCCTGGAAAGTTTCACTTACTGGGTGGCACAGAAGTGAAATCTAAAAAATGAGTGATCTCTGTACTGCAACATTTTTGGGACTGAGAACCCTGAGTGTAATACGGTGCAGTCAGAGGGTTGAATTGAGACTTGGGGGACCTGGAATCTGTTCTCTGCTCAGCCATGAAGCTTTGGGCACTAAATCTCAGCTTAGCTTACCTCACAGGGTAGTTGTGAAGATAAAATGGCTAGGAGCAGGACCTGTAAGCAACTTTGGGTTCCTTGAGGGAGGAGAAAAAGGCAGGATATAAATATTATAATGAATAAATAACATCAAACACCCACCCCATCCTCATGAGCAAACCTGCACTTCCCATTTTCCATGTGCAAAATGGGAATTTTAGTGGCTTCTGAAAATAGTGATGCAGCATGAAGTGAAGTTAGCATGATGAGTACCTTGTTTACTTTAAAAGAGGATTAATAATTAAGGGTGCAATCCTGTGCAAATTTAGGCAGAGAAAGGCCTGCAGCTATTCAGGCTGGGCTTGCTGGGAATTGTAGACCTTTTTTTCTGTCTAAACTTGCCTGGGATTGCACCTTAAGACCGAGTGGTTCATGAGCAGTAATAACTTAATAACTCATCACTGATGTCCAATAGGACTTGCCAGACTTAGAGGGGAAAAAATGGTTACAGTTCCTGAAAATGGTGCCTCGTAAAATCCATAATTATTTACGGATATGTTTGTTTTTATCTAAAGCCAAAGCTGAGAGTCCTTCTCTGGCTCTGAAAACCCAGCTGTAACTTCTGGGCTGGAGCCCAAGGAAAACAAACCAGGGGGCTGTTCCCGTGATGTAGGAATATGCATGGTGGAAGAAGGCACCCGTTCTTTGTGGGAGGGTGTACATGTGTGGAAGGGAAGAGTAAGAACAGAAAAAGAATCCTTCCCCTGCCGGCTTTTTTATATTTTGTCTTTGTGACTTCAGTGTCTCAGCTGGTTCTGCTTAAATGCCCAAAAATTAAATGCCCAAGATAGGGTCAAGTTCACCTCATTCTACTTTTTCCATATTATAAAAGTTGTTGTTTGCTGTTTGTCGTAGTTTGTCTTTCCAGTATGTGCGTATTGCACGTAATGGGGAAAATGTTGCGTGTGGTCAAATATTATAATAATAGAACCTAGAATGATCTGATGAAGCTGATTTCTGAACGATTCAGGAAAGATCAAAGGGAGTGCTTCTTCACACAACACATGCTTAAAACTTGGAAATTCATTTTCGCAAAATGCCCACCAGTTTGCAAAGCTTTAAATCCAGACGCATTGAGTGGAGGGCAAGGCTGTCTGCCCTGCTAGTCCTGGTGGTTTTATGCCATCTCCAGAATCAGAGACAGCATGCGTAGAAACCCCCGTGGGTAGAGAACTTGGCTGGGAGGATGCTCTTGCACTCGCGTCCTGCTTGGGGCTTAATTTTCTTTGAACGCTTGATTTAGATGCAGTCTTTGACAAATGCAAATAAAATTGCAACACTTCTTTCCTGCGTTTTTCTTTGCAGGCCTTGAAATACTCATTTCAGACGCATGACCGTTTGTGCTTTGTTATGGAGTATGCTAATGGCGGGGAGGTAAGGTTCCTATTCGTCTTGATCAAATGCTTTTGCTGTTTCACCTTTTCCGTGTTTGAGGAGCGAGTATCTCCAAAGACAGTCACAGCAAGTCTCTTTAGGAGGCTCCTAAGACAGGGACGGCTGCTCAGTGTAGATCAAATGCTTCTCATGCGTAAGATCTCAATCCCTGGTATTTCCTATTGAAAGAAGCTTTCACTTTGGAGTTATGCCGTCAAACAGACCAGGCAGTATGGCTTGGATGGGGTAAGGGAACTTTTTAAGGGAATGTCAAGTTAGTTGCTGGTCTTTCTTACTGTCACTGAAGTGTATCAAGGGCTGTCGTTTTGAGCAGACACTTCCACCCAGCCATGCTCTAGTGATGGTTTGCACTTCGCCTAAGGTGAGGTTGTGAATATAGCGGGTGAATCCAGTCTGCTGTGTCACGCTCCCCACACCGATGGAGCGATGTCAGATTGGTGTAAAAGGAAGGGACTGTGGTTTCCTTTCTGCGAAAGTGGGCATAAGCCAGCCAAATGCACTGAACCCATAATTCGCGGGCAGCTTGGCCAGTGGGAGTCCATCTAACGCATCTGGAGGGCCTCCCTGGTAGAAGGATGGTGTAAGCTCCCGGCTGAGTTTAAGCCCAGGCATGGAGCATGGGATGCTGCCAGGCTATCTTTCGGGAGGATTTCCCATTTCAGTACATCGGGCATTCCCAGGCTCGGAAGAGGCTGGGCGGTCTCCTGCCCTGGTAACGCTCCAGCCCGTGGTCCTGCTGAGAACCCCTGCTGTTTTCTCCACTTATTGCTATCTTCAGCTAAGCCAGTGTCTGGGAACTCTCCTTTGGCCGGGGACTCATCAAAGCATCCTCCCCAGTGGGGAAGGGGCTGCGCTGACAAAGTGACACCAGCTAAGCTGCGTTCCCCAAGCTGCCCACTTCGCTGGAGTGGCTTTGCTGCATTAAGGCCCTCCCGGGGGGCAGGGAGGAGCCATTATGGGCCAGGAACCAAACTTTGTCAGGGGCATAGCCATGCTTCTTCTGGTTATTTGTCCGTGGAGCGCTGTGACCAGCCACCTCCCAATTTACTTGCCAACCCCCACAGAATGGAAAATAATAGTATTTTGAACAGACTGCAGAAATGCACTTTCTTTTAGAATATAATTTAGCTTGTCCTGGTGCAGAATTTAAATTTATTCCTTGTAGAACAGACTCGTTTGCTGTTATGTGCTGTCAGGTTGTTTCTGACTAAGGCGACCCTTTGAATGAGTGCCGTCCAAATTGCCCTCTCCTTCACAGTCGTGCTCAGCTCGTGTAAACTCCAGGCTGTGCCTTCCTTTATGGAACTGATCCGTTTCCTATTTGGTCTTCCTCTTCTTTTTTTGCCTTTGCCTTTTCCTGTATGTAGCCTGTATTTTCAGAATAACTTTTCACTGAACCCTCCTGTCTATCATAAATGCTGTGATAGACCAGCATAAATGAACACCAGTGAGGTGAGGACTAACAGGTGGTTACCCTTACAGCTGTTCTTCCATCTGTCGAGAGAGCGGGTCTTTTCTGAAGACCGTGCCCGGTTCTATGGAGCTGAGATTGTGTCGGCATTAGACTATCTACATTCAGAGAAGAACGTAGTTTATAGAGACTTAAAGGTACGTAGACAGAGAATGGTGAGTTTGGGGGCCAGGCTTTCTTGGTCATCTCAGACATGCCTGTGGAGCAAATGGTGCCAAACTGAGTAAGAGCACAGCATAAGTTGTAATTTAATTTTAAACTTGATTGTATTGGGTGCTGCCAGACGTGTTTTAAAACCTGTTTGTGTTGGTACGTTTCTCTCTTGCCCCCATGACACCTTCCTTTTGTTAGCTGACTTTTCTTTTTAACCTTGCCTTTAGTGAAGGAGGAATTTTAAAATGTGTACCTCCTTAAATTAAAATTAACAGGGGTCTGGGTAAGGGGGTCCCTCTCTGGGAGCCCGTTCCAAAGGAAGTAAGGGGGGGCTACCAGGAGGGGGGCCTTTTCGGCTGTGGCACCCCAGTTTTGGAATGAGCTCCACAAAGAGGTGTGCCTGGTGCCTACTTTTATTCTTTTCAGCGCCATGTGAAGACCTTTTTATTCTCCTAGCTTTTTATCAGTTAAACGTTTTAGCTTCATTTTTAATATCACATTTTAGTCTGCACCGATTTCTGTGCCGATTCAATCGCAATTGCTTTGTTGCTTTAAGTTCATTTTATTTTGTATGTGTGCTCGTAACTGTGTTTTAAATTGTTCTTAACTTGTGTTAACCACCGAAAGAGCCTTGGCTATTGGGCAGTAAAAAATGAAATAAATACATAAGTACATACATACCTGCGTACATCTAACGGTCTACCTTCTGATTTGGATTTTCTATTAAAGTTGGAAAACTTGATGCTGGATAAAGATGGGCACATAAAAATAACAGACTTTGGGTTATGCAAGGAAGGAATCAAGGATGGCGCAACGATGAAGACTTTCTGCGGCACGCCAGAATACCTTGCACCAGAGGTACCTTTTTGTGTTGTCCTTGTTATGTAGTCACAGGTGTCGCTTTCCTTAACAGACATAAGTGCCGGTGGGCTTTGTGGGAGGGCCTTACTGAGCAGTAGCAGAAATCCAGGTGTGTTTGTATTTGTGACTGGGCTCTAGGTGGAAATAGCAAAACCACTACGGTATCTTTGTCTGTATGGCCAGGCCACTCTGGCACCGGCTGGTTTGCTCTCCCTGCAACATTGTCTTTAAGGCAGTGCTTTATTTCTGTCCATAGAAGTGAATGACTGCTATGCACTTGCATGGGAGAAACTGAAGAGGTGGCCAGTGAGGTGGGATGAACTCTGATGAAGAGACAGCTTTGGTTGGTCAGGCCTGGTTCTAAACTGTTTCGAATGGCGCTGTGCCTTATTTTACTAGCTTTTATTTGCTTAAAGTGTTTTCATCCTCCTCCTCAGACCAGAAAGGGCTTCAGGAGTGCTTACAAGCAGTTGGTGGCAAAGGACAGTTGCAGATGCACTGCATGAGGGAAAAGGAATGGAAAGAGAGGAGGGGAAAAGCTCGGTTGTTTTCAGAGGCCTTGAGTCCCTTCCCACCACCCCCAGTATATCCTGCCAGAATGGTTGCTGGTGATGTCAGCCCAGGATGGGAGGAGCCTGTTCGGGCCTAGCAGGAGCGACTCGAGTCAAGTGTGCTCCCGTTGGATATTCTGAGACCTTCATTCGTGGAGTGAAGGACTGTGGGAATTGGCAGGTGGATGGTCGCCTGTCACAATCGTCTTGATCTCTTCCTGGATGCCTTCCAAGTCTGTAGCCATGAGCTCCATAAGTTAAAGTTCTCTTATTGTTGGTCTAACAATGGTGGGTGGG